CAGTGTTCTGTCTGAAATTTGTCCTAGTATACGTTAACCAAATTCTTTGTATTAATCTTTTAAATGTATTTGCTTTCTTTATTTTGAATTGGCCAGCCCCCTTATTTCTTGTCACTTTGCTTTAGGACCCACATCTCTTTAGAAGGTTGGCTATAGATGGCTTTCTCTTTTTTAACATTGACAAATCTTTGCCTTGGAAAGAACCCAGAATATAGTGTGTTATAAAAAAAAATAGATACCAGGAAGTGAAATTAGAATTTAAATTAAATTTATGGATATGACTCATAAGGTGTTCACTCATGAGGTGAGACATGAGATGTCCTTGTAGTTTAAGATTAGAATCTGGAAACTCTGGGTCTACTTTTTAAGTTGTATCTAGTAAAATAAGCCCCTGTAGATGCCCCTTAAAGTAATAAAGCAAAGAGAAGTAGGTGGTTTATTTTCTAGCAATCAAGTTTAAAATGTTAAACTTTTTGAGAAGTAGCATCAGATTAAAGTGTCCATAAGCCTTTTGAGAAGTAGCATTTTAAAGATGTGGAGTTTTCAAAGCTGTTGTAGAACAGTACTTCTTTGCCTTCCAGAGTCTGCTTATTTTAAACATTTCTTGTTCCAGTAGACAGTGTGCTATTGAGTAGTGAACTGATTTAAAATTTATTTTTCAGATGAACCAGAAACTCGAGACGCGTGGTGGGCAGAAATCAGACAAGAAATAAAATCACATGCCAAAGCGTTAGGCTGTCATGCCGTAGTGGGCTACAGTGAATCTACTAGCATCTGGTAAATGATAACAACGACTTGATTTTCTAGATGGTGTAATTTACAGATTGTCATCTGAAAGGGGAAGAGCTTTATGCAAATACAGAGGAAAGAAGACTAGTGGAGTGATCCAGGAGCATTGTTTTTTTTTTAGAGTACGTCGGACTGAGGTTCATATGCCATTTTTGCTATTTGATTAATGTGAAACTTTGAGAAAGTTGCTCTACTCTTCTGAGCCCCAGTTTATATGTTGTGCTGGAGAGAATAACCACCCATCAATTAAGGTTCTTGAGGGATTAAATGAGAATATAATACTGGCACATAGCAGATATTAA